GGCCGTGTGCACCTCCCGGAGCTGCCGCACGGGGGCAGCCTTGGCCCCCGATCTACGGAGCCGCGCGGGCGGGCGAGCAGGTGGCGCGGTGGCGGGACCTGGCGTGGAGCGCGGGACGGAACCCCGGTGTCTCCCGCTTCCCGGAGCAAAACGCAAGCTCGGGGCGGCAAAAGGAAACCTCGCGCGGAGAGGTTTACAGTCATGGCTCCACTGGGGCTCGAACCCAGGACCTTCTGCGTGTAAAGCAGACGTGCTAACCGCTACACTATGGAACCGCACGCGGAGGCTGTGCCCGCCGAGATAGGATAACACATCCCACCGAGACCCTCGTCTTCGCGACGGGGAGCGGCCGGGATCCGACGCCAGGCGGTGTCGCGCGGGGGAGAAACTTTCAAAAGAATTTCCGACCTGAAGCGCAGCTCCGGTCCCCGCTCCTCCTCGGCGACGCAGGCGACAGCGCGCCCGCAGAAAGGCAGCGGACCCGGGGCGGCGCGCGGGCTTTGATGTAAGCATCGCGGGGGGCGCCGTCGCTGCTCGGCTCTGTGGCGCAATGGATAGCGCATTGGACTTCTAGACGCGGCGGAGGCATTCAAAGGTTGTGGGTTCGAGTCCCACCAGAGTCGCTTTTGTTTTGATACGGGGCGGGGGTGGCATGGAGGCGGGGAGATAGAAGTGAAAAGAGAAAAACAGGAAAAATCCTCACTCATTTAAACCTCGAACCCCACGCGCCCGGCAGGGAGAGGACAACTCAGCGCAGTTCCTTGTCAGGTCCTCCCTGGCGGAGGCGTGAAATCCCGCTACTTGCGTCCTTTCCGTCACTTCCATGCGGCTCCAGGATTCCTGGGGGCTGGAGATGAAGGAAATAGCAGCATGTGATCAAGTTACTGAGATTTTTTTCCCTCTCTCTCTTTACAGTTATGTTCTTTTACATCAGGAATAAAATTTTTAAATTGTTCTGCAACTTTTCAGTAGCTCAAACCTGCTCGGATTCTCAGTCGATGAGTCCAAGATGGGCAGGCGTGGGAGTGCTCCAGTGGCTCAGTGGCTACGGTGTTGGCTTCAAGTTTCAGTGGGTTTAATAGCTTTGTGGGTTCGAACCCCACCTCTGGTAGAGGCTCTTCTGCTTTTCCAAGCAGGAACAGGACATTGTTTCCAAAACTCCTGGAAATGTAGCCATGGTGAGAGTAGCCAAAAGAGTCAAGTGACAATAAAATGCCAACTTGAAAGTTAGTGACCTCTTGCCAGACACAGACATAGAAACCGTAGCAACATCTGCAGAATTGATCGCTTGGAAAATAGAAAATAGCTGTGTGAAACTTATCCTACATTGTGGGGGGAGCACACTGTACAGTAAAAAGGTTTACCCTTTGAAATAAGTTAACAGTTATTTCTTAAGAGCCTGCTATGTGCCTAGTACTGTTCTAAATCCTGGGGTTATATGAATGCAGAAAGAAAAAAAGGAAAAAAAATGCAAAACTAAACAAAAAATAACAGCGACAGAAAAGACAAGGTCCCAACCAACAAGGTTACTGTCCAGCGGAGTTTTTATGACAGAGTGACAGAGGAAGAGATGGTTTATAAACAAGCAAATAAATAGAATTTCAGGTGTCAGTAAGCGCTATAAAGAAAATGAAACAGGGTGGCACGATAGCATGGCATA